TATATATATATATATATATATTTTCTCCATAATGATGTGATGTCTATCATTAATCATTTTTAGAAACTATAAACAAATTCTCTCGAACAATGAAAAATTTGTATCTGTATTTCACTTTCCTGACAAAGTTTTCAAACCATTATGTTGTATTTTCATGTTTGAATGTCTTTTGTTTTGTTCTGTTTTGTTTGCTTTTTTCCGGTACCAGGGATTGAATTCAGGATCCTGTACTTGTGAGGCAGGTGCAGTTCCACTGAGCTAAACCGCCAGCCCTGAAAGTCTTTTATTTTTTCTTTACTTTTTAAAAATATATAAATCTAAATTTAACATTTAAAAATTTCTTGTGCACATAAAATTTAAGTGTTATTTTCCAAGTGTTGGGCTACCTAAACTATTTTAAGTACAGAAATAATCAAAACAATTATATTATGATACATATACATAAAATATATGCCTATGTCAATTTATATTGGATAAGCCAACACTTTAAATATTTTTTTTTCAGTGCTGGTGATCAACCCAGGGGCTCAACCACTGAACTATACCACGAGTCTCTGCATATATCAACTTTCTTTCTTTCTTTTTTCTTTGTTTGAGACAGAGTCTCACCATGTAGTTCAGACTGCCCTGGAACTCACTATGTAGCCCAGGTTGGTCTTGAACTCGCAGTGATCCTCCTGCCTCAGCCTCCCGAGTTCTGGGATTATAGGCATGTGCCACCACGCCTGGCTTGTATATCAACTTTCAATTAGGTTGATGAAACTGTTTTTCCTCTATTATGAATCCAATTAGGAATTAACACTGATTCTATTTCTACTTTTCATTTTTGTAAAAATGTAAGTCTCTGCCCTGAGAAATCTTACACAGGTAAGTAGATGGAACTAGAATAAGTTTTTCTTATGTTGTCATTTTTTTCTTTTTTTGGTATCAGGGATCGAACTCAGGACCTTGTGCTTGCAAGGCAGGTGGCAGCACCACTGAGCTAAATCCCAGGCCCTTTTGAGCTTCTTTTAAGGCACTTGTTGATAAAAACTAAAATTCTGGTCTAACAAAAAATTTTAACAATGCAATATTTAATAATAGCTAATATTAACCATGTTGAAAGCAAAGAACTAATAATTCATTTTATGTACATCAATACTAATATTTCAAAATATTTTTCCTTCTCAGGCAACCTCAGAGGCCTTTATAGTTGGGGACAAAAGACCACAGAATGATGAGAGGCATGTTTTTCTTTGCAATGTGGGGATAACTACTTATGAAAGAAGTGGAAAAACTTCAACGATAGTTCCACCACAGGATTCAGTTTTAGATGTCGATGTAATTGATTTCCAGAAAAGTGTCTACACTAGGAGAGGCTCTAGCTAAGTCTTTTCTATATTCCAATACAGATATGCCCCACTAACTTTATGAATATCTATCCATCTCTATTTGCAGTACCAATGCCTAGCTCAGATACGAACTCCTTTAACAGTTCAAAGAGGTCTATTTCTCTGCTTTCAATTCAATCTGCTGAGAAGAGAGCTATCAGTCTTGCTGCTGCTATGAAAGTAGTGTATCATTCCCCCCACAGCCAGCTGTTTTAAAGTTTTGTTTTTTAAGCTGTAAGCGGTTCTGCTATGATGCATGTCCAAAATGGTTTAGTTAGGATTTATCCTGCTTGGAATTCAGGGGTTCATAAGTCTATATATTAGCATTTTGCAACAATTTTGGAAATTTCTAGTCTATACTTTTTCAAATATTTATCATGCCTCTTTCCCATTTTCTATGATTCCAATTTCTTATTGTTGTAGGCATTTCTTTTTTCAGTTAACAATCTCCACCATACCATTTATCCATTTAAAGTACACAATTCCATGTTTGAAAAGTATATTGACTGAGTTGTACAATCACCACCATAATCAAATCTGAGAATCCTTTCATTACACTAAGGAGAAAGCTATACCTATCAGCCATTGAATCTTTCTTCAGCCAACCCCCACATTCTTCTCCCTACTCCTGGCAATAATTAGTCTTATTTTTTGTCCCTGTGGATTTGCCGATTCTGGTAGTTTCAATGCTGTTTTCCAATATGTAGACTTTTGTGATTCCTTTTACTTAACATATTTTCAAGATTCACCCATATCACAGCATATATTGGTAGCTTATTACCTTTTTAGATATATATCCTTTTATTGTGATAAAACCGATCAACCACTTTAGCCATGTTTAAGTGCATAATTAGTGACATTAAATATATTAACAATGTTGTACCAACATCACTACTACATCCAGAACTTTTCTATTATCTGAAACAGAAACTATCCATCCATTAAAAAGACAACTTCCCATTCTCCTTCCACCAGTCCTACGTGACTTTTATTTTACTTTTTGGCCCAGAATATCACAAACTACTAAGTGCAGTACTAAAGCATCAGTTAAATAAATTATACCACACTGACCAGGCAGAATGCCATGCTACTATGAAGAATAAGGCTATGAAAAACTCACAGCTACCATCACAATGGTCAAAGACTGAGAAAGCAGGAGTACCTTCAAAAAGGAAAAAGACAGGGATACCTGAATTCATCATTGCCACTCATCAGTTAGAAGTTTTAATAAGAGGAATTGGGCAAGAAAAAAAAAAATAAGGCATCCACGTTAGAAAGGAAGCATCTGTTTCAAACAAACATCATGATCTACACAGAAAATCTGAAAGAAACCACAAAAAAAGCTTCTAGAGCTAATAAACCAATTAGGGAAGTTGCAGGGTACAAGAGCACATAAAAATCTTTTTTCTTTTCTTATACTATGCAACAAATAATTGAAAAGGAAATTATTCAAAACAGGATATTAATAGTGTAAGTGCAGACATACAGACCAACGGAAATGAATTAAGCATACAGAAATAAACACATAAAACCATGAACAACAAATTCTTGGTAACAGGACCAAGACCATTCAATTTGTACTGGGACAATTGGGTATCCACAGGCAAATGAATGAAGATGGATTTTTCATCTCACACTACAAAGAAAAATTAACTCAATGTGAGCCAAATTAAACCTTTCCTGCTTTAGAAAAATCAAGTCAAAATGGATCGATGACTTAAGCCTAAGATCCAAACCCATACAACTCTTAGAAATACAAAGATGAATCTTCTTGTGAATTTAGAAATGCACTCTTAGGTACAAAACCAAAACACAAGTAACAAGAAAATACTAGATCTCACTGAAGTTAAAAGCTTTTGTGTAGTGGGCTGGGGATGCAGTTCAGGTATACAGCACTACACAGGGCCCTAGGTTCCATTCCATACAGTGCAAAACAAAGCTTTTGTTCAGAAAAAGCTATTATCAAGAAAGTGAAAAAAATCAAAACAAAACAAAACAAACTACAGAATGGGATAAAATATTCCCAAATCATCTATCTGATAAGGCTCTTGTACCAGAATAAAGAATTTTTACAACTCAAAAAAAAAAAAAAAAAAAACAAAAAAAAACCAAATCAAAAAAAGCATAAAAAAAAAAAAAAAAAAAAAAAAAAAACCACAACAAAGCCAATCTAAAAATAGGCAAAAAGCAAGCTGGCAATGGTGGTGTACACCTGCTACAGCAGCCCTTGGGAAGCTGAGGCAGAAGGACAAGTTCAGGACCAGTCTGAGTGTGTATGACACAGAGAGACTCAGTCTCAAAACAAAAACAAAAACAAAAAACCCCACAAAATAATATTATCAGCCTCGGCCTTTGCTCAAGATCAAGAATATCACAAATCTGCCACCTATGTATAGACTGACAAAAAAAAAATTCTTACTTAAGTTTAGATAACAGAGGATACATATGTGCAAAACTATTTAGATTACCTAGTAAAAATTAATATTGGCCTATTTGTAAACACAAATCATTTCAGAAAAAAGGAAAAAATACACAAAAGACTTGAATAAACATTTTTCTAACAAAGACACACCGACAAGCATATGAAAAGATGCTCACAATCAGAAGTTGTCAGGGAAATAAAATCAAGCCACTTTGTATTTCTAGTATGGCTATAATCAAAATAATGCAAAATAATCAAGTGCTGGCAAAAATGCAGAAAAACTGGAGCCTTTGTACAGTACATTGCTGATAGGATTATAAAACAATTTGGCCAGTACAGAAAGCTGTATGATAGTCCATCAAAAGCTTAAATACAATTCCCAAAACTCCATTATTCTACTCCTAGGTATATCTTTAACAGAAGTAAAAACAAGTACAGTAAAAAAGTGCATACATATCCATATTTACAACACTATCTATAGAAATAGAATGCAGTCAGATTGGTGGTTGAGGGTGGTGATGGGAGAAATTGCTTACTGGAACAGAACTTTAAAGTTTATTTATTTATATTTTTTGTTTTATTTTGTTTTTCTAAGATAGAGTCTCATTATGCAGTTCAAATTGGCCTTGAACTCCTCAGCAGATAAGTTGGGTCTCAAACTCACAGCAATCCTGCCTAAGCCTCTCAAGTACTAGGACAACAAACATTTGCAGAAATATTTTGGAACTAGAGTTGGTGGTTGCACAATATTATGATTGTATAAAATAACACTGAATTGTTCACTTTAAAGTTTAAAACAGTCACTTTTATGTTGTTTGAAATCAATTCAATGAATTAAAAACAACAAGGAAGAGGTTCAACTTGAGAATGAGCAGAATACCTGTGCTAAACCAATCTTTTAGAAAAAATTATAAACTCAGGAGAAAAATTTTTTTAAAGAATGAAAAACTTACAGGAAGGAGAACAGTCAGATACAGGCAAACCTTAGAAGAGGTTACACTTCAAAGAAATTAATGGTACTGGGTAAATTTCCATATGGCAGACCTTTTTTTTTGAAGGAAATTTTAAGTCAGTGCCACCTTCAGGTCAGTTAAAATTCAAACTAAAATCTGTATCTTTCTAGTTGAACAATCAGGAAAGAGTTCAGACAACAATAAAAACCATTCTCTGCAACATATTTACATATCCAGGATAAAACGTGATATCAAACATATACAGAAACGTGTAGGGCCGGGGATTTAGCTCAGTGGTTCCAGCGCCTGCTTCACAAGCACAAGGACCCGAATTTGATCCCCAGTAACCAAAAAGAAAAAAAAAAAAAATCAAAGAAACGTAAATGTTACCTACATACAAGATGAAATGAGTTCAATCCCCAGTATCACACACACACACACACACACACAAAACCCCCCACAAATTAAAAAACAAAAACCAAAAAAATCCTTTACATATAGAAGTGTATATTGGATGATTCCAGATACATAAAGTCCTAGATAGGGTAAGTAATCTTGTGTTAAAATAATTAGAATAACAGTTTCCTCTGGAAGAGATGAGAAGGCACTTTCTGGGAAGAGGAATGAGGCAACATTCTATGATGATGGAGGGCCGGGGGATTTAGCCCAGTGGTTCCACCGCCTGCCTCACAAGTGCAAGGACCCAAGTTCGATTCCGGAACAACAACAAAAGAGATGCTACTGATTTTAATAGGGGTAAAGACAACTGTACATTTAATGTAACCAGAAATTTAATTTTAACTGAAAATATAAACAGCACATTCATATATGCTAATGTGTTTAAAGAACAAAGATCACTGATGTCTGAAACTTCAGTAATTCATTTAAGTAGTCTAATGAAGTATATAGGGGATACAAATTTGATAAAGCAATTACTATCACCAAGTAGTGTTAGATTTTTCATACTTCATAATTTGTAAAAACATGCGATAATGTCCCTTCTACAATATATCAAGTGCAATACTGTATTACTCCAGTGTCTTATGTAATTGTTTGAATGCAAACAATTTACACAGGTTAAAGATGGAAATATTAAAATACAGAGAAAAAAACTCCATTTTTCTTCTCTTCCTCTTTTTTTAGGAGGTATTGGGATTGGTAAAACCAGGGCCAGCCAGGCATAATGGCATTATGTCAGTAATCCCAGCACTCAGGAGCCGGAGGCAGGAAGATCATTAGAAGTTCAAGGCCAGTATGAGCTACAAAGTGAGTTCATGGACAGCCTGAACTACACAGCAAGACTGTCTCAACAAAATAAAACAGGGCCTCTGCACTGACCTGCATGCTTAATTCTTTATTTTGAGATAGAGTCTTGATAAATTGCCCAGGCTGGGCTTGAAACTGGGGTTTTCCCACCTCAGCTTTCCCAAGTGCTGGATTTCAGGCACATGTCACCACGCCCAGGTTTCTTTTCTTTTCTTTGTTAATTCATTAAGCTTATTGGTACATTGTAGGTATACAAAATGATAACATTCACCATTGGGAATCTGTACCTTTACATGATATATCTTGGTTCTTATTTTTTTCCCCATTCTCCTTGCCCTCCCTCCAACCTCCCCTCCCTATTTACAAAGACTTCGCTTCCATTTTTTTCCTTTTTTCATAATTATTTTCCCTTCTTTCCTTTACCCCCTCTTCCCCTTTGGGCATTTTCTTCCTATTTCAAATCATCTATTATGCATTTTGATCCTTATTTATACTTTCAGTTTCTCACACCAGAGAAACTATTTGGTATTTACACGTGTGTCTTATTCATTCACTTGAGTATGGCCTCAATATGCATTCATTTAGCTATAAAAGACTCTAATTTCTCATTCTTTATGGCTGAATAGAACTTTTTCTTTTATTTTATTTTTTTGGTACCAGGGATCAAACTCAGGACTTTGTTCTTGCAAGGCAGGAGCGGTGCCACTGAGATAAATCCCTGGTCCTAGTATTCCATTTTATAAAAAATCCACATTTTCTTTATCCAGTCTCTAGCTGATGGGCAATTGGACTGTTTCCAAGTTTTAGCTATTACAAACTGTGTCACTATAAACACAGGTGCACACATATCACTGTGGTATCCCAGGTTTTTCTTTTTAAATTCTTTTTTATTATCATATAGTAAATAGAATCATTTTCTATGTTTTCATATATAATATTGTACCTTTAGTGACTAATAGGAAAAAAATAAAGTAATTAAAGCAAAATGTTTCCCTGTTTCAGAAAAAGGCAACTTTTGGGGCTATAAAAGGAGATTATACCAAAGAGTTTCAATAGTAAAGGGCAGGAAGGGTTCCTTACAGGCCCAGTAACATGTAATGCAGTCAAAAACAATTTAAATATTTTAAAAAATACGCTTTTTAAAAAGCTTACCCTTTCTGCTTCAAAGGTAATTCAAGTTTAAATATGGTAGCATCATTAACAACAGCTTTATATGCCTGCAAAAAAATAATTTGAAATGGAATGAGCATTATTCTAAATATTTAAAATGTTTAAATTATTATACTTTCAAAAGTGTGTAAAAAAATATACAATGAGTTATTTTGTTCTGCAAAGCTGAAGATCATAGCCATGGCCTTGCACATGCTAAGCATGTATTCCTACCCCTGAACAATACCCTTAGCTCAGACAATTTTTAATGATATATGTCATGATAGAATATATTTTCAGCTGGGCATGGTGGTGCATGCCTGTAATCCCAGCACTCGGGAGGCTGAGGGAGGTGGATCACTGTGAGTTCGAGACCAGCCTGGGCTACTGTGAGTTCCAGGTCAGTCTCAGCTACATAGTGAGATCCTGTCTCAAAAAAAAAAAAAAGGATATATTTTCAGAGACTTTAGCATGCTCTTTGTCATGTTATAACTATCAATATTATCCTGTGGGTCTTACTGTTGTCTGACAACCACAACATTGCAATCCCTGCCTACATCCCAATGGCATTTTTTTTTTTACTGGGGATCAAACTTGAGACCTTGGGCTTATGAAATAGGCAGCAGAACCACTGCGCTAAATAATCCCTGGCCCCCAGTGATATTCTTCACATTCAATGTCTTATTCTCCTAGACAGTTTTTTTGATTTTTTAAAAAGCTCTCACTATGTAGTTCAGGCTACCCTTGAACTCACTATGTAGCCCAGGCTAGCAGCAAACCCGCAGCAATCCTCCTGTATCTTTGTACCATCTCCTTTCTCCTCAAACTTCTAACGCTTTCTTCCTGTGTATACTCTCAACAAACCATGTACATCTTCCTATTTCACTGAGAAAATGGATGTAATCAGAATTCCTTCTTGTCATTTCTACCTTGATTTTCCACCTCTATCATGTCTGTATCCTCAGCATAAGAGGCATAGTTATTTTTTTACATTTTAAAACTTGTCTCTGTCTACCTTTAGTTAATAAATAGCCCATTTCTTTCCATTCCTTAAACTCCTACAGAATTATCTAATTCACCATCTCCAATTTCTCTCCCACATCTTTTCATTATTTTTCTTGTTCAATTTTTTTTGTTGGTGTTGTTTTAAGATAAGGTCTCATTATGTAGTCCAAGCTGGCTTTGAACTCACTATGTAGCCCAGGTTGGCCTTGAGTTCGCAGTGCTCCTCCTGCCTGAGCCTCCTGAGTGCTGGGATTACAGGCATGTACTATCAAACCTGGTTCAATTTTTTTTTTTTTAAATTAGTAGCACTTCTAGCTAAGCTTTCAAATGACTAGTCCACTCAACTATTCATTTAAAAGTTATAACTTCCATGTTGGTGAATATAATGGTTAACTCTCATTTCATTCAACTAATCAGAAGGGCTTTAAAACCGTTTCTTTTTAAACTTGTTTTCTAGCACACTATACTCTCCTAGTCATTAGTCATTCTCTCTTCCCCTAGAGATGGCTCCTCACTTTTCTAACAACTTAATATCGGAATTCCAGGTCATTCCTTGGATCTCTTCTCTTTCCAAATAAGTTATTTCTTCAATGACTGTAGGCAGTGTCAGGGCTCTAAAAAGCATTTATATGCAGAAGCTGCCAAATACAGTATATTTTTCCAGCTTTCTTACTGGCCTTAAACTGCAGACTCAACATTTCCACATGAATGTTTAACACATTTACTTTAATGTTAACTTGTTCAAAACTGAGTTTCTAATGTCCCTGCAAACATCTCCTCAAAACTTGTTTCAACCACAGACTTACCCACCATGATACACATAACCTTCCATATGGTCAGAACTGCTAAGTGTCATCCCTGAATGATCTCTATCATATTCTACATGATTCATTAGCAAATCCAGTACAGTCTACTGTCATAATAAAATCAAAATCCCTAGCCATCCCTCTTTCTGGGCATATATTCAAAGGAAACTAAATCACTACCTTGTAAAGATACTTGATCTCCCATATTCTCTGCAGCCCTGTTCATAATAGTCAAGAGATGAAAACAACCAATCTAAGCGTCTACTGACAAATGAATAGAAAACTGCTGCAAATATGCAATGGAATATTACTTGGCCCTAAAAAGGACACCTCATTATTTGCAACAACATCAATCAATGAATCTGGAGGACATTATGCTAAGTCCTCATTATGGCTTATGTCTAAATGTCTCCCCAAAGCCTCAAGTGGTCATAGGTGAGGCTTTTTCAGAGGTCCCTGGATGCAGAATGTGTGACGCTGGCAGTGACTCATGGTACAATGTTAGGCTCAAGGGCATTAGGATTAAGGTGTGAGTGCTACCTGCCCTAAGTAGTCTGGATAAGATAAAAGAGGCAGAAAGATATTGGTAAGGTCCCTTGTTGCACTGCTACCTTTCTGCATGCCATTATCACTCTGCCTTAGAGTGAGCTGATCATGCACTGAAACCTCTACAAACTGTGAGCTAAATGAACCTTTCCTCCCTTAATTGGGTGTTGGGTATTTTGTTTTAGCAGCGAGAAAAGGAATTAAGTCCTCTTAAAGGAACCCTAATGATAGGACTTAAGATGGCAGAATTAAATTCGGTTTAGGATGAAATGTGAAGGGAGGCCAGGTGACAAGGAAGTTCCAGGGAAAAGTATAGTGGGAGCTGGATCTTAAAGAATAAATAGGAACCCAATAATCAGTAATATTAAAAACAAAAGAATATTCTTGGGAAAAAATGAAGAGAATAACTTTCTAGCTAAATTCTAGTTCACAGAGATAAGCAATGCTTAAAAATACATATGCCAAACCAAATATAATAAATACAGCTGTTGTTCACTAAAGTAAAATTAGAGTTCCTTGGTTTTTAGTTTGCAATCTCATAGCATAATGATGCAAACTGCTTAAAGTACATTATAAAAGTAACATTTGTAAAAACAAAATGTTAATACATAAGATACCTTATCTCGTGCAGTAAGAAATCGTGGATCATCCTGAAAAGCTTCTTTGACGAGTTTACTAAATCTATTAAATAATGTAAGTAACTGTTCAACATATTTCTCAGAGTCCTGGAAACAAAATGTTTTACATTTAATTAAGTTTTTAAAAGGAAAATGACAGAAAAATATAACTTTAATAAAAACTATAGCTTTAAAATTGGGGAATTTTTTCTTAAAAGTAAAATTAAAAGGTGTTCTATATAATTTTTTTGCCATTTCAATCTCTAACCTTGCATTTAAAAAAAAATTGATACAAGCCAGGCGTGGTGGCGTACACCTGTAATCCCAGCACTCGGGAGGTTGAGTGAGGAGGATTGCTGTGAGTTTGAGACCAACCTGGGCTACATAGTGAGTTCCAGTTCAGTCTCAATTACAAGTGAGACCCTGCCTCAAAAAACCAAAAACAACAACAACAACAAAAAATTGATACACATCTATCTTACTGTTGAAGGTGACTCACAGTGGTAATAGTTTCAGCAGCTGCTACCATGTCTGCCAGGCCAGCACTTATGATATGTTCCTCCAAATCTTTCAGCATTGGCTCTATCCCATTAGGAACTTTGTCCATCAATGAAAACATTAAATGTAACTCTGAGAAAACAGGACACACTCATGCAATTGTCAATTAGAATGAATTTCCTTTCTTATTTATATCATGAACCAACTATGGAGAAATATTTATGTTAACAGTATGCTGTCAGTACAATCAGTTTAAAAGTTATTATAGTAAGGCTTCCTGATCTTCTAAGTTTGACAAAAATTACTTTTGAAAAAAATACCTAATTAAAAGTGATCACAAACTGTAAAACCCAACTCCACTGGATCTCCAGTGAGATGAAATATTACTTATTCTGAAAAGTAAAACCCAGTTCCAGATGGTGTATAACCATAGTCCCAGCTACTCATACTCAGATGGCTGATGTAATATTACTTAAGGTCAGGAGTTCAACACTAGCCTGGGGAATATAGCAAGACCCCATCTCAAAAATGAATGAATGAAACTGTACTAGATATAATATAAATCTGTATTTAAAGAATTTTCAGCCAGGCATAGTGACACATGCATGTAATCCCAGACCTTTTGGGGGGTGCTGAGGCAGGATTTTCAGTTTGAGCCCAGCTTGGGCAACTAACAACTTGGAGCAACCTCATTTCAATCTAAAAAATAAAAAAGGGCTGGGGATTAGCTCAATGTGAAGGCCCTGGGTTCAATCCTAGTTAAAAAAAAAAAAAAAAAAATCCTTGTGTAAGGTGTCCAACATAGGTCAGACATAACTCTATTTCAATTAGTACATAAAATTCAAATAGTTTGCCTAAAATTCCAGCATTCAGTAGACTGAGGAGAATTATGAATTTGAGGCCAGCCTACAGTACACAGCAAGATTCTATCTAAAATAAATAAAAAAATAAAATAGAATTTCAAATATTTTCTTATACCAACAAGCAGCTTGCTTTTCACAACAGACTTACTCTAAAGAATATATGTATGTAAAAGAGGATGATGTAACAGCAACTGATTTGCTTCAAAGGTACTCTCTTCAAAGAAATTTACTGTTTTTATGTGATGTTTTACCTACTTTCAGTTTCATTTCGCTTGATCATGCCTTGGCACTCCGCTAAGATAGTCTCTTTAAATGATGTCACCAAGGCATTCACACAGCATTCCATGAGCTGAAATATATAAAAAATTAGTCAAGGCTACTTTGAGCTTTATACCACAAATTTATTCAAACTCACAGAATAAAACTAATATTTTCTGCAGACAAAATTAAGTGTACTGAAAGTAGATTTTACTTACCTTGACTACAGGACAATTGAAGATGGATACTTTATACTAGTATACCAAAGAATATTTCACTCTAAAGAAAAAGCTACAGTTAGGTTCTCTTTAGAGATTTTAAGTCTCCCAGGGAGAAAACAAAAACAATAAAACCAAATGAAAACAATCATCTTTTTGTCTGTTTGTTACCAGGGGTTGAATTAGGTCCTTGTACTTGGCAAGACAGAACCACTGAGCTAAATCCCTGGCCCCAAATGAAAACAATCAAAACTGATAAATTCTTCTTATCTGGAGAGAGCCTATATTGGTATTAAACTCTAAAATTCTAAAAGTATGAGTACATCCATTCAACAAACCATTACTGGATGCCCACTATGAGGGGGTACCAAGAATAAGATATAAGCTCTGTTCTGAAAGAGATCACTGTATAATTGAGGGTAAACAGGAGGAGAAGTCCAAATTGTTGATCTACAAGATGGTATCTTTTTTTGTTTTGATACCAGGGATCAAACTCAGGACCTTATGCTTGCAAGGCAGGTGCTGGAACCACTGCGCTACATTCCCGGCCCAAGACGGTATCTAATTAAATTGTGAAAAATAAACACAAGTCCTAAAACAGTGTTTTAGGAACAATAAGAAGGGACAGATAACAAGAAAAAGACAAGCAGTGGAAGAGAAGGCAAGGAAGAAGGCTGGAATCATTATGAAAATGTCCTAAAACAGTGTTTTAGGAACAATAAGAAGGGACAGATAACAAGAAAAAGACAAGCAGTGGAAGAGAAGGCAAGGAAGAAGGCTGGAATCTGATTATGAAAAAAAAAAATCAACGTTTTGGATTTTATTTTATAAAGCAAAGGAAGAACCAAGGAAGTTTTAAACAGGATAAAAGTAATGAGATTCACTTCTTCTTAAAGTATTGTTAAAAATCAGTGTAATGGCAGCAAGGCAAATGGTATAGAGTGCATGGAAACTGGTAAAACAGGCTGTTGAAATAATTCAAGCAAGCTGGCAAGGGTCTAGCATCCTAGGAGGCCATCCTGAAATCTAAATGAGGCAGAAGATTTCTACATCATCCTTGATCTTAATGTTAGGCAATTATTTTCTCCTGCAAGGACCAAGTAAAATAGGTTGTGAGTACCGAGACAAGGTATACTAAAACTGATTTTGTTTAATTTTCACTCTTGTGAAAAACATCATCTTCATTATGGAAAACAATTGTTTTAAAAATTCTTTGTTAAATATTCCCCTTGATAGATGCTGATAATTGCTGAATTTAAATTTAATTAATAGGGATTCATTATAGTTTTTCTACTTTTTAAAATATTTTAACATTTCCTGAATAAGTTTTTTTCCAAGTCCCTATTGAAGAATTACACTAATGACTTTTTAATCCATGTATCTACTTCATTTTTGTCTTATGAAAATAACAGATTCACAAAGTAGTGAGAAATTCTTGCCTTACAAGGTGGGAAGTTCTGCCCCGACTGTTAAATAATCTCACTTTGTGCTAACTATGGAGTACGCACAACTGGCCTCTCCTACCTTCAGCATTGAAACCAGACTGAGAACAGGAAAATCTAACTACATACGACCAATGGAGAACAAAGTGAAAGTGCAGTCTACATTAGCTATCTAATTATGGTAAATGCTATACATATAAAATCTCAATCGGCATGACAACCTCATATATGAAATAGCTATTTAATTTGTCAAGACACAGGCTGAGAGTGGCTAAATAACCTACAAATATCTCATAATTAGTTCCTAAGAACCTGAGCTCTACTTAAGGCCATATATGCAACTCTACGACCTCCAACATTCCTTACTACATCAATACAGCATGTGTGTACTTAGCAATTACTACATTCTCGACTGAATTCAGTGTTTTATGGAACACATAAATATAAATATGGTTCATACTCTATATAATTCTGGGAAAATGTAATTATATGCCTAAAAAAGTGCTTCATCTGTACAGAGGTATACAAAAAAAAAGAGATTCAATTCACTAATAAGCAAAGAAATAGAAATCTACCATTACCACACTAAAACTTATGCTCTTTCATAGCTACATTATTATGACCTCAGCAATATTTGGTGCTTCATAAATAACACAACAAAGTAGTCTATAATTTCTTACTAGATCTAGTTTGAAAACAATAGGTAGTGTGAGGTTTCAAGCAAGGGGAAACTGATGAATGCTAAAGAATCTAGGCTACTTTATTAGAAGTGTGGTTATAAAGATACTTGTGAGAATTTGGATAGGTGCAAGAAAAATTATTACTATCATGAATCAAAGAAAAAAAATGAATATAGGGCCAGGTGTGGTAGTGTGTGCCTGTAATCCCAGCACTTGGGGGCTGAGGCAGGACGATCACTACATGTTTCAGTCTAGCCTGACCTAGCTAGAACTTATTTAAAAAATGCGCATACACACACACACACACACACACACACACACACACATTTATATATTCTTCATTGGAGTCAAACGCCTCTTGCTTAGCCAGGCGTAGTGGTGCACACCTGCATGTAATGCCAGGACTTGGTTGAAGCAGGAGTATCATTGTGAGTTCAAGGCTAGCCTGGGCTACATAGTAATTTCAAGGCCAGTCTCAACTACATAGTGAGACTTTATCTAAAAAAACAAACAAACAAACAAACAAAAAAAACCCAAAAAGCCTCTTATTGGGGAGTATTGCGTTAGAAAAATAGATTAGGAATAAATTCTTAAGGGTCTTAAAAATCAGGAATATGAAATAATGGTACTTTTGGTCTCTCTCTTTCTGTACTGGGGATCATACCTAGGGATTCATGCATACCAGACAACTACTATATCACTGAGCCACTGTAACAAGTTCTCTGTTAAATTGCCCAGGCTGGCTTTGAACTGGTGATCCTCCTGCCTCAGCCTCCCAAATAGCTGGGATTAACAGACACAAACCATCATATCCAGGTGATACTATTTTTTTAAGTTAGGGAATATTAATTATACAGAATAATGGGTTTCGTATAGGCATACAATGTACTCTTGGCTTTTAAAGAAGTATGCAATTAAAATGTTTATGCAAAATTAGCCTAAATGCAATATAAATACAAATGGTCAATAAGAATATATACATCCTCATTAATAATGTTTAAATGCTTTTAAATTTAAAATTTTAAAATTAATTAATTCTATGATACTGGAGATTGAACCAGGGCCTCCACACTGAGTTGAGCTGATCCCCAGTCCTCTTTTTTTCTAAAACAGGATCTGGCTAAATTCCTAAATTGCCCAGGATAGGCTAGGCTGGAATCTGCAATCCTCCTCTTTTACTCCAGAATATTAGGATTACAGGGCTGCATCACCAAGCCTGGCTCAATAATAATTTTTAAATGCACATAAAATCTTTGATACTGAGACATCATAAAAAATGACTGACAAAAATCTAGATTAGCAGAGATATAAATAAATAGGTACAGTGTTACTGGGAATAAGAATTACAACATTTCTGGAAGTTTTGGTATTGCAATCTCATTTCCATAAGATTCCATTCCAAGAAAATGAAGAACATGAGTAAAGATTGGGTCAGGGATCTAGCTCAGTGGCACCACGTCTGCCTCACAAGCACAAGGTCCTGAGTTTGATCTCCAGTACAAAAAAAATGATGTATGCATAAGGATGTTAAAAAGAAACAGGCATATAAAGATGCCCTAAGGAGCAATACTTCTAAAAAATACTAAGAACAATGCAAATGGCCACTTGAAAACTAGTTAGAGCTGGATGTGGTGGTACACGCCTATAAACACAGCACTCAGGAAGCTAAGGCAGGAGGACTGCCACAAGTTCAAGGTCAAGCTGGATTATACAGTGAGTTCAAGGCTAGTTTAACTACATAGTAAGAAAACAAACAAAAAAGACTAGATATATATATAGTCTATATGTGTTATAAAACTGTGTGGAGTATAAGTGTGAAATGTCATAAATTTCTTTAAAAATGCACAGGAAGGGAAGATGGGAAACAAGGAAGGGGGGGAAAAAAAAAAGAAAAGAAAAGAGAAAAAGAATGGACCAAACCAGTATGACAAAATGACAATAACCATTGAATATGAAGGCTTGGTATGGTAAGTGAGATTCACTATATTATTCTCTCTACTGTGTAATCACTGAAAATGGTTCACAATAAAGCTTTAAAAAGTAAGGATAATTATGGTGTAAATTCCTATATAGTGAAAAAACCTTCTGAAAAGAATTTCATGTAGGCAAAAAGAAAAAAGGGAGACTGCTAGATAACGCTCTCTCTTTATCAAATGACTCTCGTCCAAATAATAGGATCAGTTCCTTGAGGATACACTCCTTTTATTTCATCCCCATCATTTACCAAAATACTACATGCATAGTTGATCCTAAATATATACTTGTTATTGAAAAACACATCTTGAATGGAAGGGATAGTGATAAACCATCTCTCTCACCTTGTATTCCCTTTCTGTCTCCTTTTGCTAGCTTCCGTGAAGAAAAAAACTTTTTGCCATATGCCATCAACTCCTGTATTTGTTTGCCTGAGATGAGCACAACTTCTAAATCCATAGCAATCTCTCCCCAGAGGTCTGCAAGGTGAAATACTTTATCATTGTGCTTGATGTTTTACTCTCTGCTATAGCAAGACTATATACTCATCAAAAATAAGGCCTGCCATAAAACATAGCAGGCATTTAATAGTACTTGTTGAATAAATGAATTCCCAGGTCTGCGCATATGAAGGATGAGATTGTGTGATAAAATATTCTTTTAATAGTATTCAATTTGCACAATTAATTTTACTTCACTGAAATATAGTAAAAAGTAACAAGAAAAGTTCTGATGATCATTAGTTTGACAAGTGTGTTCAAGTAACAATGTGCTTTG